AAGAAAAATAGTACACTGTTATTACTGCCTTTGCGCGACTTGAAATTTCAAGTGAACACCGAAATAGTTAATAGGATAGTCGCATATTTCGTCCTTCACTTGTACGTTCTGAAAACTGACGTAGCCGCCAAACTCTCGAGGTGTCCAGATGAAACTTTGTCACGGAAAGCAGTAATATCTGAGTATTAGTTTCCCTCTTATATATATATATATATATATATATATATATATATATATATATATATATATAGGAAGAAAAATATCAGAAAAACAAACAAAATCTTAATATGCAATTATGATGTATAATGTTAATATAATGTCAAAAGACGTTTGGTCTATTTTAGACCATCATCAAATAGATAACTGACATTTTTATATAAGATCAGACGTTCGTCTTTTTCATGTTGAATTTGAACGATGTGATGTTAATTATGTTTTATGAATATGTCCAGATGATGGTTTTAAATAAGATCGAAACGTCCGTCTTTTGACATTATATTAACATTAATACAGCATAATTGCATATTATTTTTACTTGTTTTTTTTTTCCTGTATATTTTCTTCATACTGTTTATATCCATATATTTTTTTTTATATATATACACACACACACACACACACACACATATATATATATATATATATATATATATATATATATATATATTAGTCAACTAGTATAATGTTAACGAGAACTGCGAAGTGATAGACAAACTGGGAGAAAATGGGGAAGAAAAAAAATGCTTGGTGGGGAATACCAAGAAACTAGAATAAATAGTTCCAATGAGTTTAAGTAAAACATAGACTCACAAGCACCCCCCACCTCCCCAGTAAAGAAAACGAATAGATGTCTCCTCCTGTCGGCACACTGACGGTCGGTGTAATTTAATATATACTGCCTCTAAAGTACACACCCGCGCACACATACATACATATATATATATATATAATATTAAGGTATGTTATATTTATGGGTTAAAATGCTCAATATCAGGGATAGAACATAAGTAAATATAAAAATGGATATTGTCGCCGCTGATTGTTGACTTCAGTCTGTTTCATGCTTAAACGCAATCGTCTTGCCATGTCCGATATCTTGGCTTGACTATTTATTATGTTGCTCAGTGGTGCCTTGTGTATAGTTATATTATTCTAAAGGTTATTTAGGTGGGTAATAACGGTTATGTTTCGAATTATTCTAGGAGCTATTGAGTCTAAATACTAGCCACAAAACTGCATCCGGATCCACAATTATTTACACTCAATAGCCCCTGGAATAATTGGAAACTTAACCGTTACCGCCCACCCAAATAATCTTTAGAATAGTACAACTTTTTTTTTTTTTTTACACAGCATAAAGGTGTTTAATATTTTTATGGATAATCATTTTTCCCTAGCTATCTGGCGAGATTGCTACGTTACATCTGGATGAAATTGCTGTATTTTTCTGATAATAAATATACTTTCTACTCTTATACACGCTGGTACAAGCCCAACTTGCATATGCAACGATAATCTCTACCTGTTTTAAATGAACGTTCCTATATATACGCAAGTGTATGCGCCTGCATTAAGTAAAAAATAAATAAATAAAATAAAAAATGGCTAATCTTTCTGCCCAGTGCCTGCAAATTTATTTTTTCTTTCTTTCTATGCATTCTTCAAAAGATTTTTAGACACATATTACTCTTCCATCCATCCAAGTGATGTCGGAATGTGTAGAAATATTTTTTTCTACAAACTTTACAGCCTTTCCTCTTTCTCGTCCTCTTGCCGTTTTTTCTATCCCACGAGCCTTCTTGTACGTTAATATTTGTTTACCTTTTTTTTTTCTTCACCATTAATGCTTCCGTATGTTTGCCTCATTGCTTCCACTGCATGTTCGTTCTCCATGTCTTCTAACTCACAATATTAGCGCCTAGTCTCTCAGAGATTTTTTTTTCTTTTTCAAGTAGTCTTTTTTTGCTTTTTTGCTTTTTTTGCCGACCGCCATTGGCCAAAATACGCAATCTCTTTTCAATCGACATCTTCTGTTTTCGACTTTGGTTATTTCTTCGGTGTCTCTCTGTTTGAACTGGAATTTTTTGTGCCTTTCTCTTTTTACCGTCTTCTGCTTTCGGTATCTCCACCTTACCAATCTCTCTAGTTGTTACTCCCCGTACGATCACCGAAGCCTGGTTAGTACCTTGATGGGTGACTGCCTGGAAATAACAGGCGCTGGAAGCTTGGATATGTGAGTAGTTCAATGGATAATGGCTCGGAACTGTTAATTGCAGAGCCTGCTTCCAATTACGGTTGGAAATACCCTTGAAAAGATAAAATGCAACTTCTCCCCCAGTTATGGGTTAATTAGTAAGACATATATCACTAAACCGTTCTTAAAAAAATTCTTACGTTCTAAAATGTTGCCTGGCTTTAAATAACCTGCAATGGGTTGATAAGCCCCAGAAAATGAATAAATCTGTCTAGATAAATTCAGGCGTGGTACATTCGAACCAGTTGTTTCCTATTTAGGATAGGGTTTCCGGTTCCTTCTAAAATCTACTTCAGTTCTATACTTCTCACGTTTCCGGCTAAACTCTGAAATTTTATTCAATAACTTTTCTTTTTTTTTTTTATTCTCACCCAAATGGTACTATATCGGTTCTCCTTTCTTCCAGTTCATTCTCCTTCCCGGTCTTTTGAACAAAAGTAAAGGTTTATTCCATGTTTTCTGTTCAGGATTGGATTACCGGTTATTTCCCAAGTCTACTTACACGCTATACTTCTTCAGCTGAACTTTGATATGCTATTCTCTAATCAAATCGTGACCTCTGTAAGTTTAGAGTTAGCTGTTGCCTTTCCTGCATAGCCCCCAATAAGTTCAATTCTTGCTCTTTCTTGTATTTCATGCAACGCCACACAGTAACCCTCTACTTTGATTGGCTCTTGGGCCTTATACTGGATGAATATTTAGTAAACAAAACAAAAAATAACTGTCTAGTTTTGCATTTACGGAACACTTTTTCTCCATATGATAACCGAAATATTTCGCGATCGCTTGTAATTGTTTTATTCCTGTCTTTTTTTTTTTTTTTTTTTTTTTTTCCGCCAACCTATGTAATTTTTTCACGACGTCCGCAAACGCCAACGAATGAAAAATATTGAACATAAAAATCTCTGGAATAGCTGATGGGAGGGACGGGGAAAAGCTAATATTTCTGAGAGCTGAAGGAATTCCTGTATCTCTGTCGTATTCGTTGGCAGATGTATTCCCAGCTCCGTTCTCCACCACACCTCGGCTATTTTTTTTTTCACCCACCCCACTTCGGTCACACTTGTGTCCCGAATAACTCACAGGTGGTTGCAGAAAAAAAAATGGATCCAACCAATGTAATTTTTATTAATTCTTTTTCTTACTTTCCTCCTCATCCCTCCCGCCATTTAATATTCCGTTCCAACTTCGTGCGCACAAACTTGCCTGATATATAAAGCCTCTAATTTTGGTAACTAAACCTACAGTTTTACCAACGCTGCCATTTTGGCTTATCAAGGAAACGCCATAAAAGCTATCTCGAGATGTTAATTTATCAACTTACATATCACTGTGCTTTCGACAAAGTATTTCAGATGTTTTTTGTTTTTTTTTGTTTTGCTTTAAGATGCATTTCTCTCCCTCTGATCAAATTCTCTCTATACAGTAAAAAAAAAAAAATGGCGGAAACAATATTCACAACTAACTTTATTTTCACTTATCGCATTGGATCGTAGCTATCATATCAACCAGTTTATTTCTCCATCAGTAGGTGCACAAGAGGTGTCTGCAATCATAATATTAGTGTTGAAAAAAAAGAAGCAACGTACTGCAAAACAACTTTTATATGAGGAAATAACATACGCCATATATTTTTGTCCTCTGAAGGACGTTTTTAAGGTATATGTAAGAATTTTTTATGAGTGTTCTTAAATTAAAAAAAAAAATTGAAAACCAGTAACGTTTATTCTTTATAAAATCCTTGCATTTGCCTTGATAAAGTGCACCAGAGGACGAAATTATTGTTTTGAAATATAACTTAAAGGATATTAAATTGTAACAAGTATTTATATACAAGAACAAAAATGTTTTTTTTTAATTTTATATATAATATATATATATATATATATATATATGAGTGCTCAATATCAGTGATGCCGCTAACATATTCAGTTTTATGGATATGAGTTTGTAATCCTAGGTTTGATGATCGCAAAAGCGTGAAACCCACGGTTACAAGCTCATATACAGAGTAACCCGTATATAAGAGAGTTGTCGGGACCGGAGAAGAAGTCTCTTTTATCCGGGGTTGGTCTATTTTATATACATTAACACAGGCTCTAATTTGGGACCAGAGAAAATCTTTTATATCCGGGTTATACTATATATATTTTTTAAAAATATGATTCCAAATCGCTACATAAGAGGTCTCATGTTTCAAAACAAGAGCCGAAAACTTCAATATAATCCTTTAAATTAAATTGAGTTAAAAGTAAAATGGGCTCCGTTCCATCTTCAAGCAATCCTTTTTTAGGTATTTAAGCTATATCTGGGGGAACGGGTGTTATAAACTTCTCAAGTGTATTTTTTCGGAAGTGAACTCAACCGGAATTTGAACTTTGATCGCTAACCATTACACTACGAGTGGCTTAAATAGCAGGGCTGACTGAACTCTCTAGCAGTGACTGACAACCAGTCTAGAAGAGCCACTCTGAATTCAAAACCCTATGTAACTCTGGCGAAACAAACGGCGTATATCTCGCGAGAAGATTATGGCTTTCACAATGCTTTCGACTGTGGTTGTACATGTTTATGAAATATGTTAGTCTTTGTTTGTTTGTTTTAGTTTTTTTTTTTTGTTTTTTTTTTAAATAAAAAAAGGAGCAAAAGGAATCTATGCTGCCGGTCTCTGCTAAATGCATTTCTTCTAGCAAAGAAAATTTGGGCACCATTTTCTTTTTCGCCATTGTATGATTATCTTTTGGTGATGCTCCTTCGCTTTATACAGATGGCCATTTATTCACAACGTCTTAAGTCTCAGCATTCCCTTCGACATCACGTGACACAACAGTGATCATGTACCAACTAAATAGTTTTCCACGCGTCGCATCGTCACGCTCTCTGAAATGCATCTAACTATACGCATGCGCAAATGTTTGGGTCCGAGTGTTTGAAAAGTCGAAAAAGGAGCTCTCTTAGTTTTGCGTAACTTCTGGTTCATATTTCTGGATATTTCACCCTGTCTTCCTCAACGTAATAATCGACAGATTAAAAAATGAATACATTATTTCCTCGATAATCCTTACCTCGAGTTTGTAGGGATATTATTATCAACATTATTATTATAATAAATAAATAAAAATAAAATATATAATAATAATAATAATGAAAATTATAAATAAAATAAAGCAATAACATAAAATAATTGTATAAAATAAATTAAATAAAAAATAAAAAATAATAAAAATACTCCCACCAATGCAACAAAAACTGTCCCTGCCGGAAATAAAAGCGCCAAAAGACTTTAAATTCAAACTCTTCACCTCGAACCTCGGTATGGGCAACACGTGTCCAGCTCCTCTCTGTGATATGGCCTGTAATACTACGAAATGAATTCTCCCTTTTATCACGTGTACCATAAAACAAATGTAACCTAAAAAAGAGGCACACACACACACAAAATAAATTGCATGAAATTAACATACAATATACCATGATTTTCCTGTGTAGGTTTTATTTCCTGTCAAGTATGCTTTTATCTCCGAGAACACGAGGCTAATTTCTGTTGCTATCATGTGAGTGAATACCCGACACAATTTTGGTAACCGGCAACGTGCATAAAAGAAAAAAAATTTAAAAAAAACTATTCACCAACAAGTTTTTGGACTTCGGCTGTAGGGACTCTAAATGAAGAGAAAAATTGAAATCATCTGAAGTATTTTTTATCCGCACAAAAGCCATTCAACTGAGACAAGCATTTTGAGAAATTAGAAAACCCTTCTCAAGATTTGAATTAAAAACTCCGATAAAATCAGTTCATTTTATTCTTAATTTCCACGTTGTTTCCCTACAAGAAGTAGATCGGTTCGCCTGTCCTCACCACTACCACCTGTTGGTCATTTGAACAGGAGTAGCCCTTTGCGTCTTAGGAGAGGGCTTCACCTTGCTTTCGGTGAAGCCCTCCCCGGTCTTTTAAGCAGTAGTAGAGTTTTATCCCTTGTTTCCTGTTTAGGATTGAGTTTCCTTCAAATGACTTATCCTTTTTCACACCCAGTAACGACTTGCATTTTAGTGGCATTATCGCCTTCCTTGGGGTGAATTGGTTAAAAAAATACAGAATATACATTTGAATTATCACACATTGGCCAGACCAGAATCGTCCTGGGTAAGACGATAAACTACGCCCAACAGCAAGGTCTCTGATCAGGAGGTTTTAAGGAACGTGGAACCACCTCTTAATTGCTGTTGGTGTTCCCAGGTCAACCCTGACCTGGGGTGGTAGCACCTGTTAGGGTCCCAGCTATGGGCAAATAGTTAACCCTCAAACTGGGGTGAAAATTGTATGAAAGCGTAAAAATAGGTCTTAATACCAGAAATACTTTGTAAAAAAATATTACCAGCAATATATTTTAGGCAAAAAATATTACCAGCAATACATTTTAGGCAAAATTATTACCAGCAATACCTTTTTGAAAAACAAAATAATACCAGAAATAGATTTTTTGAAGGAAAAATATTAGTAGCAATACATGTTTAAAAAAAAAAAAAAAATTGCCAACAATAAAAATTTTTCGGCATTAAATAACCCGTTGAGGTTGATATGTCGTAAAACAAACCAAATCAAACCAGAGATTATGGCTCGAGCAACTTTTGAATTTAAAGTAACCTTAGACGATTAGGCTTCGTCAGGCTGTCTTGCTCAGAAAACAACACTGCTATAATAGATGCACTACCCCTACGGCAGTGGTTTCCAAACATTTTTTTCCATCTGGGCCGCATTTTTGGAATGAAGATTTGCTCGTGCCTCACCAAATTTTATGTAATAAAAAGTACATTTAAGAATAATAAAAACAGTTTTAAAGGGAGATAACTGCGGAATCGAATTCCGAACATTATCATTGATAACTCTCTCCTCCAACTTGCGAAACCTAGTTCTATATTCTTAATACTTGCTCTAATACAAAACTATCAATCGGTCAGTAATTATTTATAACTTTATACCGGGACTTTTGCATTCAATAAATGTTAAAATCGGTACTTATTCTTGAAATATGAATTTTTTAAAAACCGTTTCTAAATCTTTCATTGTCTTTCAATCATTTCGCTTCCTTTGTTATCCTCTTTCGCTGCACTTATGAGGCACAGCGCACCGTTTTCGGAACCCCTACCCTACGAGATCTTTAGTAACGTTTAATTTAGCCCCATGATTTAGTCACCCGCCTTTTAGTTTTTGTGCCTACCCCTGTGCTTGCCAATACGTAACTCACACGTTGGTTGTTCGTAGAGAAAGTTCTGATGTCCTCCGATTTCTTTTGTTCAACCAGAATAAGAATAAATGAACTCTACTATGATAAAACTCTCGACAAGGTCCGAATAAAGTACAATTGTAGATAATCTTTCAGTAAGATTGCAGTAAATATCATTTAACTGCTGAGTCATTAGATTTAAACTTAGTCTCTTTTGATCATCGGCTTTCTTGGCTTTTCGGTTTTTTGTTGTTGTTTTTTTTAATAATACCATTTTTGAAAACAGCGTATTTTTTTCTCTCTTTCAATTGATGTTACAAGTGTCCTTCTGACCGATTCTCAATTAGCGAGGTTTTTCATTCACATACTTTAATTAATTAATTGGTAGTTAGAACGCCAGTGAAATTAGTCTGAAAATACGTTTGAATTTCCAACCCAAACCCAAGTCGCACTCTGATTGGATCAAATTAAGCAGAATTAAAGTTTGTCGACTAATTTTATATGGACGGTGTACTTTTATACAAATCTTTTTTTTTCTTCGATTTTTATTAATTATTTATTTGGTGCTGACAGAACACTTTAGATGTCTGACATAGTGTGCTTTTTATTAACACAATAGTTTTATAGGGTTTCATTCAGATACATTCAAAGGGCAGAAAAAAATCTACACCAAAACTCTTGTATTCCATGAGTATAGACAAATTCATGAAAAGTCTTGTACCGAGCTTCCGCCAAACGGAAATTTTGGAAGCTGTTTAAGCGAGGACCTTTTCATTAACATGTCATATAAATATATCTATATCTACCTCTCTCTCTCTGTCTCTCATATATATATATATATAATCATTGTTTCGGTACATGCCTTCACCACTATTCAAATCATATCTGCAGGTCGTCTGACTGGTTGTTAATTGTTGGGTCCCCATACGTCGAAGACGACCGGAAAGAGATATATATATATATATATATACATATACATATAATAAAGTATGTTTGTTTGAAACAGGATAGTTTTATTGTTTGTATTTCAAATTATATTCCTAAAACGAAATTTTTATTTCCATAATACCATATCGCACAATTTTAACCGGGTGGAATATGTGACATTTTTATTTTAACAAGAGGACGAATATTTCATTCACTTGTTCAACAGAGCGAAGGAAGAAAACTGTTTGGGATTTCTCCTTTGAGCTCAAGGTATTGTTTATTCTCCATGGCTTCCGGGAAGGACGCAAGTTTTTCTTTTAAGTCGTAAAATGTGTTTCTCCTTTGACTTTTTCCCCCCTTCAGGAAAAAGCTTAATTCCACTTTGTCTTTGACATCAGAGACCTTCTTTACATCCAAATGTGTAAAGCAGGTTTTACCATCGGGAAAAAAAGGTGGATTTTGCAAAACTAAGAAATTCTAATAATGTCTTTTAAGTAATCCTTCAAGTCAGATAATGTTTTTCTCTACGTTTCGTTTCTCTTTGTCAACTCTGATTCGCTTACGTCCTTAAACTTGAATATAAGGGGGAGATAATTACGTTGTTTTGCTATTTCGCTTAAAGAATTTTTTATTTATTTATTTTTGTCGTCCTATTTTAGGTCCCCTTCACCTAAATATTTTCATTCATTTTTTTTGGGGGGGGGCATTTTATCAGTGTCATCTAATTATTATTCTTGTAAGGATTGTTTTTGAAGGTTTATTTCGATTATTTTTTTTTTGTTCTCATTTCCTCTCCCTTTCTCTTTACTTTCATCCTCACGGTTTACCTTCCCCTCTCAGGTTCCTCTTCTATGCCTCATCTTCCTCTCTGGCTCTCAATTTACTTTCCTCATCCTTCTCGGTTGTCTGTATTTTCGTCCTTCTTCTTTGCTCTTTCTTCACTTTCCTCTTTCTTCACTTTCCTCTTCTTCCTCCTCCTTAGCTCTTTCATCACTTTCCACCTCTTCCTCCTTGGCTCTTTCTTTACTTTCCTCCTCCTCTCCCTTGTCTCTGTCTTCATTTTCCTCCTCCTCCTCTCCCTTCCTGGCTCTTTCTTCACTTTCCTCCTCTTCTTCCTCCTCGGCTCTTTCTTCACTTTCCTCCTCTTCTTCCTCCTCGGCTCTTTCTTCACTTTCCTCCTCTTCTTCCTCCTCGGCTCTTTCTTCACTTTCCTCCTCTTCTTCCTTCTCGGCTCTTTCTTCACTTTCCTCCTCTTCTTCCTTCTCGGATCTTTCTTCACTTTCCTCCTCTTCTTCCTTCTCGGATCTTTCTTCACTTTCCTCCTCTTCTTCCTTCTCGGCTCTTTCTTCACTTTCCTCCTCTTCTTCCTTCTCGGCTCTTTCTTCACTTTCCTCCTCTTCTTTCTCCTCGGCTCTTTCTTCACTTTCCTCCTCCTCTTTCTCCTCGGCTCTTTCTTCACTTTCCTCCTCCTCTTTCTCCTCGGCTCTTTCTTCACTTTCCTCCTCCTCTTTTCTCCTCGGCTCTTTCTTCACTTTCCTCCTCCTCTTTCTCCTCGGCTCTTTCTTCACTTTCCTCCTCCTCCTCCTCCTCCTCTTTCTCCTCCTCTGCTCTTTCTTCACTTTCCTCCTCCTCCTCTTTCTCCTCTTCTGCTCTTTCTTCACTTTCCTCCTCCTCCTCCTCTTTCTCCTCGGCTCTTTCTTCACTTTCCTCCTCCTCCTCCTCTTTCTCCTCGGCTCTTTCTTCACTTTCCTCCTCCTCCTCCTCTTTCTCCTCGGCTCTTTCTTCACTTTCCTCCTCCTCCTCCTCTTTCTCCTCCTCTGCTCTTTCTTCACTTTCCTCCTCCTCCTCCTCTTTCTCCTCTTCTTCTTTCTTCTTTTCCTCCTCCTCCTCCTCTTTTCTCCTCTGCTCTTTCTTCACTTTCCTCCTCCTCCTCCTTTTCCTCCTCTGCTCTTTCTTCACTTTCCTCCTCCTCCTCCTCTTTCTCCTCGGCTCTTTCTTCACTTTCCTCCTCCTCCTCCTCCTCTCTTTCTCCTGCTCTTTCTTTTCCTCCTCCTCCTCCTCCTCCTCTTTCTCCTCCTCTGCTCTTTCTTCACTTTCCTCCTCCTCCTTTTTTCTCCTCTCCTCTTTCTTCTTTCCTCCTCCTCCTTTTCCTCCTGCTCTTTCTTCACTTTCCTCCTCCTCCTCTTTCTCCTCTTCTGCTCTTTCTCCTCTTTCCCCCTCCTCTCTTCTTTTCTCCTCTTCTGCTCTTTCTTCCTCCTCCTCCTCCTCCTCCTCTTTCTCCTCTGCTCTTTTCTTCACTTTCCTCCTCCTCCTCCTCCCTTTCTCCTCGGCTCTTTTTCCTTTCCTCCTCTCCTCCTCCTCCCCTCCTCCTCCTCTTCCTCCTCCTCCTTTCCTCCTCAGCTCTTTCTCCTCGGCTCTTTTCTTTCACTTTCCTCTTCATCCCATCTCTTCATCCCTGTCTCTAGCCCTCTTTTTACCCTCATAAAAGTACATGTATTCACAACAAAAATGCATGGCATATTTTTTTTTTTTTTTTTTTTTTTTTCTGGGACCCGAAATTTAAGTACAAAAAGATATTGCAATCCTTATCGTCCCAAAATGGAATTCATTTCTTTCCTTGAATATATATATATATATATATATATATATCTCCTTTAAAATATGCTTTGATATTTCTTTTTACCTTCTACCATTTTAGACTTTCTTTTTTACACTTGCCTATGGGCGGAAATCTGTCGCGTTTCTCCTATTCATTTTACTTTATTTTTGTTTTTTTTTTAATCTTTCCTTTTAATATTTTCATGCATTTTTTTTCTCTTCGATAAAGAAAATGTACTGAACTGGTTCACTTTGGTGACGCAGCGATTTTCTTCGATGATATATATATGATCTTTTTAATCATAAAAAATGTTCGCCTTTTACATCACCTGCGCAGAAGGGAGGAGGCCTATAAAGTCGCCGTTAATAAAAGATGCGTAATAAACAGACAGACACATCAAAACAAACAGGGACAAAGGAAAGGAATGATGTGCGCATGCAGTCACCCTTTTTTTTTCTTTTCTTTTCTTTTTTTATGTTAAATGAAACCTCATTTATGCCCCGAGGTGACCGGGAAGAGAGGAGGTTGAAAGGCATGAAAGTGATAGTTTCTGTCGTAATTCGAGTCTGATTCATGTTGTATTTATTGCGACATTAATTCAGATACCGGTAAATACTTTACGCCTTTTCGTCAGCCAGTTTACATTTGAAAATTTAATCAATATTTTCGATTATACTACCTACCTACCTACCTACCTACCTACCTACCTACCAATAGTATCCGTAATATTTGTACGCTCCAATAAATTACTAAGCTATGGACAATTGGTTTTCTATTTGCTACAACTAGTATTTAACCACGGTAACTTTGTTCTCTGTCCCAATGTTATGAAACTTAATAGACGAATAAAATCGATCATTATTTTTGTTATTGTTAAAATAAATCATCAGTCCCAGTATCCTGGGTATGACGATAACTACATAAAAAAAAAAAAAAAACAGCAAGGCTTCTGATCCTGAGGTTTTGAGGAGCGTGGAACCACCTCTTAATTGCTGGTTTTACCAGGTCCACTCTGACTCGGTGTGGTAGCAAGTGTTCCCAGCTACGGGCAAATAGTTAACCACACAAACTGGGGTCAAAACACTATGAAAGTGTAAAAAATAGATTTTAATACAATCAATATAATTTTGTAAAAATTATTACACACCAATGGATTTTTTGAAGAAAATAATTATTACCTGCAATAAAAAATCTTGTCGGCATTAAATAACCCATTGAGGTTGACATGGGTAAAACAAACCAAACCATTATCAGTTTCATATCCGGTTGTGGTCGAAGGGTCACTTCTCGGCCGAAACGTTGCCTCCGCATATCTGGATTGAAAGCTGGAAAAGGCTATTCATTCATGCGTATGCTGTCTTGGACAAGCAGACCTGCCGAAGTTCGTCCCCCTTCAGGTCAAACCTCCGTCTTGGTCACGGACCTGTGGCCGTTGACTTCAGTTTAGGAAGCTCTGTCATCACCGTACTGCCTTCAGTATGGAGCCTAGTTTAGCCTAGTCGTTGACTTCGCCAAGAAGGTTCGTTCATCCTTTGATGGATCTTGTTTTTATTCTTGGGCTCACGGCCATATCGCGTTGAAATCACAGTTCCCGTACAATCACCGAAGTTGGGACTGGTTAGTACTTAGATGAGTGACCTCTTGGGAATACCTGGTGCTGTAAGCTTGGATGTGCGGTGGTGTAATCGGTAACGACTCGAAATCGAAGAGTTCCAATTCCTGTTGGGTTCTTTATATTCAGTTTCGCGCCAAATACCACAGAAAAAAAGATTCCACCTTTCTCCTCCACTAAATTTTTACAATCTAAAATTTTCTGCTTTTAAATAATCTGTAAAAGTTTGATAGCCCCTATAAAAAAAAATCAACAAAAAAAAACAACAAATGAATTTATTTTTGATCTTGAAGATTGTCTAGCAACTCTTCACCAGAAAAAAAACATGGAGAAGGAATTGTTTTAGTCGCCTATGACTGGACCAGTGGCAGATCGTGATTATACCAGTAGCACTTGTAGTGTGACGTGGTATGTGGAATTATAAGCTTACATATTCATAGTTTATGCCAGGTTTTATGTGGAAGAATTTTATAACAGAAAAATTGATACCACGTTGCGTCGCTAATAGTGAATATAGAAATATATATATATATTTGATAGCATAGTCTTTGTGTCAGTTAGCATTTTAACTGCGTTGCGTAATAGCGTTCTTTAGTTATTTGGAGAGGCAGTTCCACCATAATAAGGCAGAAATATTCTTCTTCTTTTTTTTTTTTTTTTTTTGATCTGGCTCTTGCAAAGAGAAATTACGGTAGGCGGAGTTGAATATTTTCTAGAAATGAACATGCAAGTAGACTTAATTTTTTAACATCTTCAGCGATATATACCAGTTCATGTTGGGGTCTGGAGGGAGTCTCTATAGAGGTTCAAATCAAGGAGCCTCTTTATGAATACAATCGTTCATCACAACACTAGAAAACTCAAGGTTTGACATTTTTTTTTTTTAATTTTCAAATATGCTATCACTAAATAGTAGCTATTGAAATATGAACTTTTAATTTTGAAAAGGCAAAATATTCTTCATTGTGACATTTTTTTTTTTTTTTTTCTTATTCTATCTCGTCTGAAACTTGTTTTATAAGACTGGGAGTCCGTATCTTCTCGTCAACCGAAAACCCACATACCGAAATGCCATATTATGGCATGATTGTCAGATATTTTTTTTTTTTTTTTTTTTTTTTAAGAATAAGTACTTTTTTTATCCACTTTTCCTTTCTCTCTGTCCCCAGGCGTATTATTATCTCCACGCTTGATTTCAATTTATTTTCTTTCCATGTACTGAATACGCATACTTATTTTAAAATTCCAACTAGAGTTCCAAAAGTGAAAAAAAAATTGATAGTTTATTTCTTTTAAATTTTCTTTTCTTCCCCTCTCTCACGCTTTCTTTCCTTTCCTTTCCTTCTCCGTTTCCCGCTTTCTTTTTCCTTTCCTTTCCTTCTCCGTTTCCCGCTTTCCTTCTCCGTTTCCCGCTTTCCTTTTCCGTTTCCCGCTTTCTTTTTCCTTTCCCGCTTTCTTTTTCCTTTCCCGCTTTCTTTTTCTTTTCCCGCTTTCTTTTTCTTTTCCCGCTTTCTTTTTCTTTTCCTTTCTTTTTTTTTTTTCCCTTTTTTTTTTTTTTCCCTTTTTTTTTTCCTTTTCCCTTTTTTTTTTCTTTTCCCTTTCTTTTTTCTTCTCCCTTTTTTTTTTTTTTCCCTTTTTTTTTCCCTTTCCTTTTTCTTCTCCGTTTCCCTTTCTTTTCTTCTCCGTTTCCCTTTCTTTTTCTTCTCCGTTTCCCTTTTCTTTTCTTCTCCGTTTCCCGCTTTCTTTTCTTCTCCGTTTCCCGCTTTCTTTTCTTCTCCGTTTCCCGCTTTCTTTTCTTCTCCGTTTCCCGCTTTCTTTTCTTCTCCGTTTCCCGCTTTCTTTTCTTCTCCGTTTCCCGCTTTCTTTTCTTCTCCGTTTCCCGCTTTCTTTTTCCTTTCCTTTAAGGCATTGATCCAACTCTACTTGCAAAAATTGTCATTGCTTTCTAGAAATATTACGTCTTGTTCAGCGAATTGCTATTCTGGATAGACGCCTTTAAGCCTGCAGGCTCTTTCTTGACAGCCTCTTGCAATGAGTTATGGATTATGAGTTAAAACGTCCATTTTGAAAATATCTTTCAGCAATATTTAATCCGTTGTTTGGTGGTAATGTTCTTCAAGCAGAATATTGAGTTTACATTCACATGTTAAGTTTGTTGTCACCATCGTTATGTTCATTCGCTAGTAGACCTGGTATAATTCATCACTTACCTGTGTTTATTATTTTCTCTTCAACAATCTTTAATTATGTCTTTAGAGAATTTCATATATTATTTTCTGATTGAAATGGTGTCAATGTTTAAAATTCCATAAAGACTAAAATACGTTAATATTCGCAAAGATTAACTTAATTATGTCAAAAGCACCCCAAACTGGTTTACACAACATTTGAGCGCAGTTAACTGTTGTTTTTATTAGTATTATTTTAATTGAATTCTTTTTAATCACATATTTTGAATTATATATTTGGGTTGGCTAACAAAATATAATCTAAAGGAATTATTTTGAAGTGTAGCCAATATAGCAAAATATATCTGGCTGTTGCTCTTCAAACCCAAGACAAAAATAGGGACTTTTTGCCGTCTTCTCTCTCTCTCTGTCCCCCCCTCTGTCCCTCTCTCTCTGTCCCCCCTCTCTCTCTCTGTCCCCCCCTCTCTCTCTGTCCCCCTCTCTCTCTCTCCCCTCTCTCTCTCTCTCTGTCCCCCCCCCCCCTCTCTCTGTCCCCCCCTCTCTCTCCCCCCTCTCTCTGTCCCCCCTCTCTCTCTCTCTCTCTCTGTCTCTCTCTCTCTGTCCCCCCCTCTCTCTCTCTCTCCCCCTCTCCCTCTCTCTCTCTCTCCCTCCCTCTCTCTCTCTCTTCTCCCCCTCCTCTCCTCTCTCTTCTCCCCCCTCTCTCTCCCCTCTCTCTTCTCCCCCCCTCTCTTCTCCCCCTCTCTCCCTTCCTCTCCCCCTCTTCTCCCTCTCTCTTCCCTCCTTCTCCCTCCCTCTCTTCTCAGTGATTGAAAAAAATTTGATGATAAGGAAATTAATAAGGCCATCATCAGCTTCTCCATCACGCACGATATTTAAGATATATATATATATATATATATATATATAGTAATGGAAAAAAAACTTCTTTTTTTTTATTTATTTTTCTTTTGTCTAGAAAAAAAAAATATATATATATATATATATATATATATAAGCGTGGATGAAAAAATGTTTTCTTGATCTTTTCTCATTTTCCGACGCTTCTACGACGCGGCGAGTGGATTTAGCAACGAGAAGCGATACTGTTGATGATGTTGGCGTTACTATGTACCTGGATCGATAGAATCTTAAACCGCCAAAATATTTGAGTCGTATGGCTGAAGGCTTTGTTGCTTTAAAACATCACAAATCCAATAGTAGACATCCATACGATAATATAATCACATCTCTATTTCTTTCTTTTATCTACACTGGAACACATCTATTGCTCTTTCACTCACCACCCAACTTTCATTGCAAATCCAACCCAGTCACATGTCTCCTTAGAGCCCCTAAATAACTAAAGATTTGTGAAAAGCCTTCGTCTGTCCATATTCTGCAGCTCTCCTTCGTCACCAGCACGTTTTACTTATCTCCCGTTCAAATCCCAACCACTACTCGCTAATCCCAACTTGTATTTCTTCCTACAAATTCTCACCGTCTACTTTCATATACGTTTCCCACCCTTAAACGCACTTTGCGTAACCTTCTTATACTATTCAAGGTCTTTCTTTTTGCATTGTGCCTTTTTTTTTATTATTTGTATTTATTTTAACATTCGCTGATATTTTTCTTGGTGTATTTACTTTCTTCTCTTTCTCGCTTTTATATATATATATATATATATATATATGTAATAGTTTCCTTTGGTTTCATGCTTGTGCCATTTGGTGAACTGACGGACAGCAACGTCCGTCCGTCCGTCCGTCTCTAAGACTGCCTAGTGTCCTAGATTGCCAGAGACGTTCTCCAAGTGCACACGTAACCACTCATATCTATATTTACTTAATTCCTTTCTTCTCTTCCCCCTACACGCTTCCTATTCTCTCGCCACGTTCACTAGCAGTTCTTGTCAAGCCTTTGTTTCAATACACACACACATATATATATATATATAATTCTGTTTCTCTGACACGTCACTACTGTTTCTGTCTACATTCCTTATTCATCAACCCTTTCCCCTCCTCTCCTGAGTTCAAAATCAATATTCCCGTCTGTCTGTCTGTGATTCCTTGAATCTTCCACCCGACCATTCCACTCTATAGCAGAAAAGTTAGTTATGCATAATACTTTATTTTGTACTCGTCTGTGATTATCTAATTTTATAACTAAAAAATTGTCTCTTACTTTTTTTTTTTAGGTAAGTAATAAATTTGGCCGTGAAAATCCGTAGAGAATCTACTGAAATTTGAAGGTATTGTAGAAAAATGTTTTATTTATCTCCCTGAACTGCTAATTTATTCGTATCACTGCATTTTTTTAATATTCTGATTGCAGAAAATGTAGCAAGAAATAACTTATATCTGTGAGTCTCTCTCTCTCCCCCTCTCTCTCCCCCTCTCTCTCTCCCCCTCTCTCTCCCCCTCTCTCTCCCCCCCCGTTGTCCCTCTCTCCCCCCTCTCTCTCTCCCCCCTCTGCCCTCTCTCCCCCCCCTCGTTGCCTCTCTCCCCCCCTCGTTGCCCTCTCCCCCCTCGTTGCCCTCTCTCCCCCCTCGTTGCCCTCTCTCCCCCCTCGTTGCCCTCTCCCCCCCTCGTTGCCCTCTCTCTCTCTCCCCTCGTTGCCCTCGTTGCCCTCTCTCTTCCCTCGTTGCCCTCTTCTTATTATTTTCTCTCTCTCTCTCTCGTCCCTCTTCTCTCTCAAAAATTTAAGGGTGGACGAATGTTATATTTACTTTATGAAAAACGATTCTTTCTAATGTTTTTTTAATGGTAAAATAATTATTTACTAGACACGATCCGCCTGTCGCTTTCTAGAGAAATTCACAATTATATTCTTTGTTGTTTAACCCTTGTACACCGTGCTATATTTGGGCAGCAAACCTTCTTTTAGACAAGTTTCATTGAAGACGATTCACTAGGTTGTACGATTAACCTTTTTATTAATTCCTTCTTTTTTTTTTTATTTTCTGGACATTGTTAAAAAAAAAAACATCCTTGATAATGGTTAAAAGAATAACCGAAATCGCTCAGACATAAAAAACATTGCACATTTTTTTCACAATTCTATTGAAACGTGTCTAATATATCAATGTCTTGATTTGAACTTTAAAGCACTTTCTGGAAAGAATGTGTTAATAGTGCAAGTCTAGGAAGGCAAGGATCTTTTAAAAATAAATAAAACTTAACGGACAAGAATGGTAAGCACTAATGCAAACAAGAGTAAAATAAACTTTGTCATAGTTGAAGGATTTTGACTGCCTTGAATCTCTCGATCACTTTATGTCCTGTTTTCACACCTTGAAAGGTGAAATCGGACGCTTTGTTGTGAAAACTTGAGAAATGACAACCAAGGGACCGAAGTAAAGTCTTCAATCACAATTAAACGGCTTTTTCCTTCCAAACGTTTTGTTTCCCTTTTGTCCTCTTTCACCAATCAGCAACACTTGGTTGGTTGGTTGGGGAACCTGAGTAAAAACGCAAGTAGAGAGTGGGGAATTGTCTAATGGGTCTTGCGAATTTAGATGTTAATGTTTCTCAAAGTGTTATGCATTCGTCTTCCCACGCAAACGAAATGCGGTACAAGGCTTCTTTTTTTTTTCCGCACCAACGTGGGAACCTCCATACCTACCTACACAGATAGTGCCGAAGTATAAAATCAGGCGGTGGAAAACAGGATACAGAAATTTGAAGTTGCAGAGAAATGGCATAAGAAAGATGTCATCTAGAACTAAGCAAATTTGATTATGTTGTTTTTTTTTTTACGGCTTATCAACCGTATTCAGGTTATTTAAAGCCATATAATATTTTTTAGTGTAAGAATTTTTGGGAGATAATGACTTACTGGCATATGTCTTAATAATTCAAAGCTGAAAGATGTGGATTCATGCCTTCCCTAAGAGTATTTGCGTGAAAGTGAATATGACGAACCCGAACAGAATTGGAACTCGGCTCTCCTGAAGAGACTTGAATCGACAGAATCAATTTTGAAGAATAGGGAGGCATTGTCGAGGCAACTCATCTGTAGGAATAAATCTTTGACTGAACAGATCTCCAGACAAGAAAAGTCAGATATTAGAGTTGAGAGAATACTGGGAAACTTTGGTGTTTTATAGTAGAAATCTATAATGAAAGCCGGACATTTTTTTTTTTTTTTACAGATTATCAACCCTTTGCAGGTTATTTAAAGCCAGAAAATATTTTTTGCATGGTTTTTTTTTTTTTTTTTTTTTTTTCGATAATAATGATTTTAGTGGTGCAAGTATCAGGCCATAACTAGAGGGGGAAGAGGTGTATTTTGCCGATCCGAGCTATTATCCATTACACCACCCACGTATACAAACTTACAGCACCTCATATTCTCAATTGGTCACCCATTTCGGTACCGACCTGGCTCGACGTGGTTTTAACTTCGGGGATCTTACGGGAAGCGGTGTTTCAACGTGATGTGGCTTTCAGCGGATGATACATCGGAAAAGAAATCTCGGTTTAATGCATAAATCTGTAATTAATTACATTTTTTTAATTAATATAAGTAATTATGCTTAATATTGAATTATAAGGTTGTTATTAATGCAAGAACTATTTGAAAGCATTATCAAATCCAAATAAAGAGCGTTAAAATAAAAGATGGCAAAAAGTTGCTCTTCTATTCATCACTATTATCATCAACCGTCTCTGTTCAGGCACCTCATCCGGAATGCGCTGCTTAACAAGCTTGTCTCCGATAGTAGTGGGTGTACTGTACGCGTTGCTTTGTGTCCAGTGTAAGCTCCACTTGATAAAGCCGCCTGAGCGCTGGATAATGGTTAACAAGCTACTATCTGTTGTGAAGTGATTTTAATCCTTACTATGCGTCCTGCAGTAAATCTAACCTAAAGTTAATATTAAAAAAAAAATGGCGCTTTTCTCTGACGGTAGATTTCTTGGAAATTCCTTTTTTTTTTTTTTTTGGATAACTTCCGAATTGAGTGGCTGTATTGTTTGTTTTTGGTAATGTTTTGTCGAAACATGTAACCAGTCAGCTATCTTTCGGTCTACTTCCCCTAATGGTATTGATGGTCAATGCAGAGTAAAAATAAATAAGCCTTAGGCACGTTAATGTCTGTTCACTTGAGAAGTCAGATGCATGGATACAGAAGTGACTAAGCATTGTGTGGTGTGCATCATAATTTAAATTCTTCTGTACTCTCTCTCTCTCTCTCATATATATATATATATATAATCTCTTTTCCCAGCTCTTAGCCGATGCGACATGCCCCAGTTAGCAAAAGGCTGCCAATAATTCAAGAAATGGATGCAGGTCATATCTAGCAAGATAAAGAGGAGAAAGGAAGAAATGTCGAACAGAAATATAAAATACGTTTGTCCTTTATATTTACAAATATCTTAGTCTTGACCCTCTTCTGTTTGCGTGTGATAACGTATGCGCTTGTGTTTGTGCTTCTAAGGCGAGACTTGTTTGAAAATGACAAGTAGTTGGTGCCTGAAGGGAAACTGGGGTTGGAGATAGACAAGGAACACTTTCCCTTGAATTTCACTGTCTCCCCGACGCTCCGCTCTGTTTGTTCTTTGGTCACATACTTAAGGGATTTTAACGAATTTATTTTCGAAATCTTTGACACAACAGCTGCCCTTCTATCATCTCTTTCGTTTCTTTTTTTTTTTCTATCATTCTTTGTTTGTTTTCTTTCTTTCTGTTTGTCCTTCCTTCCATTTTGTTTCTGTCCGTCTGTCCTTCCTTTTTTTTTTTTTTTCTTTTGTCCCTTTTTTTCCTCATTCTATTCGTCCTTTATTCCCTTTATCTTTTCCTTTTTCCTTTCGTCCTTTTTCCTTTCGTCCTTTTTCCTTTCGTCCTTTTTCCTTTCGTCCTTTTTCCTTTCGTCCTTTTTCCTTTCGTCCTTTTTCCTTTCGTCCTTTTTCCTTTCGTCCTTTTTCCTTTCGTCCTTTTTCCTTTCGTCCTTTTTCCTTTCGTCCTTTTTTCCTTTCGTCCTTTTTCCTTTCGTCCTTTTCCTTTCGTCCTTTTTCCTTTTCGTCCTTTTTCCTTTCGTCCTTTTTCCTTTCGTCCTTTTTCCTTTCGTCCTTTTTTCCTTTCGTCCTTTTTCCTTTCGTCTTTTTTTCCTTTCGTCCTTTTTCCTTTCGTCCTTTTTCCTTTCGTCCTTTTTCCTTTCGTCCTTTTTCCTTTCGTCCTTTTTCCTTTCGTCCTTTTTCCTTTCGTCCTTTTTCCTTTCGTCCTTTTTCCTTTCGTCCTTTTTCCTTTCGTCCTTTTTTCCTTTCGTCCTTTTTCGTCCTTTTTCCTTTCGTCCTTTTTCCTTTCGTATATTTTTTCCTTTCGTCCTTTTTCCTTTCGTCCTTTTTTTCGTTTTTTCCTTTCGTCCTTTTTCCTTTCGTCCTTTTCCTTTCGTCCTTTTTCCTTTCGTCCTTTTTCGTCCTTTTTCCTTTCGTCCTTTTCCTTTCGTCCTTTTCCTTTCGTCCTTTTCCTTTCGTCCTTTTTCCTTTCGTCCTTTTTCCTTTCGTCCTTTTCCTTTCGTCCTTTTTCCTTTCGTCCTTTTCCTTTCGTCCTTTTTCCTTTCGTCCTTTTTTCCTTTCGTCCTTTTTCCTTTCGTCCTTTTTCCTTTCGTCCTTTTTCCTTTCGTCCTTTTTCCTTTCCTCCTTTTTCCTTTCCTCCTTTTTCCTTTCCTCCTTTTTCCTTTCCTCCTTTTTCCTTTCCTCCTTTTTCCTTTCCTCCTTTTTCTTTTCCTCCTTTTTCCTTTCTGTTCTTTAAGCTACCTGTCATTTTGACTTTCTCTCTTTATCTCTGCCTCTCTATCTATCTATCCCTCCTTCGTTTCCTTCAAACCAAATTCCAACAATATTCTCCCTCCCCTCTCTCTTTCATTTTTCCACGCAACTGAGTAATGTTTATGCTCTCATCTGAATTCTTGACCAGTCCGTTACATCAGCGACATTGACCTTCTGTGTCACTAAGTCCAACCCAGCAAATATAATGCCACCTGACTGTCTAAGTAGCAAGTGTGGCGTGCATTTCTATGTGACTGACTGTATGACTTCCCCACCCCAGTCATCCATTCCTTTCACGATCATCCTCCGGGGAGAGAGGAAAGTATAAGCCACAGGTCCAGGAAAAGAAATGTCAATAATCTTCTTCTCCATGAGGAGATTCTGACGTTATTCTTCACTCTTTTATATTTTTTAATGAAAGATATTAGAAACAAAATACGACGGATAATAGTTTCGTCTCCTTGATGACGTCATCGAGTTGAGAAAATATTTATATATAAATTTTCTAAAGCAAGTAATGAAGTTTTTAATTGTTAATTCGAGATCTTTTACTCACTTTCAACGTAGTCTGTCTATATTATTTCTGAGATGAGGTAATATGTACATAATTTACATTATTCGGACTATTGTCCTCATCTTTGTCGCCATATTTATCACAACGTTTCGGCCGTTGTACGCTCCGGCCTTCTTCAAGTGGTTGGAATTTCGAACTGAACCCTTTATTTAATAAAATAAAAAGCCTTGAAAAAGTCAGAAGACGGAACGTGTTGGCAAAATTGTCATTTTATACCAATCTGTCTTCTCCACAGAATTGCTCTGGGAATTTAACTAATATATATATAAAATCTACTCGCGTCTCCTGCCATATATGAAGACCTAATTTTGAAGCTAATTTGACTGCGGTAAATGATATATAGTTTGGTCAGCGGCGTAACCAGCGTCTTCAGTACATTCACACACACACACTTCAATATACCGTCTCGTGTGGTGCATATTTTATTTAATATGGGTTCTTTATTTTGTATATACCGTTTCTTGAAGTATGATAAATTTAATGTGAATATATTTATGTCGCCGTCGAGTGTTGACCTCGGTGCCTACTTATATAAGAATTGAGTACGGTAGGCATGTTTTGTGTGGGAGCCGTCTTTTCATTTTTTTTTTTTTTATTATTTTATTCAGTCTAGCTACTGGAGTGATGGATTTTGGATTCAAATGTCGAATCGAGAATTCTGTAAAGCAAGTTGCATTTCTCTTTAATAAGACTGCAACTGCTCATTGTGCAATGGCTCTGGCAAAGAAATCTCCCAAATTAAATTTGCTGATTTTTGTGTTCGAAATCAATGAATAGTGTTCTTTCTTTTGTGTTCTTTCTTTCTTGTCAAAACAGATTGTCGCAAGAGAGGCTGCTGTCAGCTCAGCGCAAGTGTCTTTTCTCACAAAATGGGGTTTCATATCATCCTATCTATTTTGCCTATCATCGAGAGAATGGTTTATGTTGAACGTAAACCTGAATATTGTAAACCACAAATCTTTTTTTTTTTTTTTTTTCTTTTTTTTTTCTTTTTTTTTTCTTTTTTTTTCTTTTTTTTTTGTCTTTTTTTTGTCTTTTTTTTTTTTTTTTCTTTCTTTTTTTTTTGTCTTTTTTTGTGTTTTTTTTTTTGTCTTTTTTTTTGTCTTTTTTTTGTCTTTTTTTTTTTGTCTTTTTTTTTTCTTTTTTTTCCTTTTTTTGTTTTTTTTTGTTTTGTTTTTTTTTTTTTTTTTGTTTTTTTGTCTTTTTTTTTGTCTTTTACATTCGTTTAGTTCTCAATCAAAGTAGCTAGGTCCGAAAGGAGTAGATAAACGGGACTATCGCCCTGTTCGCCCCTCTTCCCTTTTATTTTAAACAAGAGTATACTTATCTTGTTTCAGATTGGGTTTCCGGTTTCCGGTTTTTCTAACGTCTGTACTCCTAACGCTTATCTTTTCTTACGCTAATACAACTCCACACAGTAACCCTCTACTTGAGTGTCTCTTGAGCCTTGTATTGGGTGAACATCAGTAAAAAAAAAATTGTGAGCTAATGTGACGCCATGAATGCCTGTCAGATGAGGCTATTTGAGAATATAAATAGTTTTTTTTTTGTAGCAATTTACGGTGTTAGGTAGAACTACTTCAAGCATAGCATGTTCTGTGTTTAATAGTAACTGTCACATTGCCAATATTACTATGTTAGTTATTCCGATTATATTAGCCTTTTGTCGCCAAAAATATTTCCTCTGGTGCTAACGAACTTGGCTTTTCTCAAAAACTAATATCATTAGCCGCTTTTCCCAGTGTCCTTCTTTTACAACCACGCAAAAGCCTGAAGCGTTTAGTAAGCGAATGTATTCTCATTTTTCCCTTATACACTCACAAGCTGTTGACTGGTCTTGATTCTTTCATTCAGTTACAGTCAAGTGTAGCATCTTCCGCCTCAGCACAATATAAACTTCATCTTTGTTAAGGTTCTTGCATCAAAACGCAAGCTCTCAGCGAAATGAATAGACATGTGTACACACGTAACAGTTTATATAGATGTCCTTGCTACGCATGCGTACGCCTTCGCAAAAGTAAACCGTATTTACGCACAAATCAAAGATTGCATGTTCTTTGGCAAACAAAGCAACAGTCTGATAGCTTGAGCGA